CAGAAATAGGGTGATGCATATATATAGGTGTAACTCATCCACCCGATGATACATACCGTATATATACTTGTAAAATACTCAACATGTAGGTCATTTACATTTAAAGAGTCTTTTAGAGATAAAGTCCTTACCCGAACCTTTCTCATTCTTATCCCGAATGCCTAGCTCACAAGCTACATTCTACATTCTTAATATACTACTGAGTGTTTTAGGATCATTTACCGTCCAAGGGTTCTCAACCACAACCAGGAGTATTCTAGTTCATTTACCGTCCAAGGGTACTCAACCCCAACCTGGAGTATTTAGGATCATTTACCGTCCAAGGGTACTCTACCCCAATCCTGGAGTATTTAGGATCATTTACCGTCCAAGGGTACTCTACCCCAATCCTGGAGTATTTAGGATCATTTACTGTCCAAGGGTACTCTACCCCAACCTGGAGTATTTAGGATCATTTACTATCCAAGGGTACCCTACTCCAACCTTATTCCTACCAAATCTTAACCCAGATATGGCTATCATTTCATTCCTTCAACTATGGACAATACCTAGCCCTATAGTCATATAATCGTCATTGGTAACCGACATGGACGGGTCCCACCCGAACTGTCCACGTTGAATTTACTCAAAACTGCCCATTGGGTGTTTAACCCAATACCCGGGGGTATCCATCCATACCCGGTCGGGTATGGTGAAGCATTGGCTCCTGGAGCCAAATTTTTCTTAATACCTGATCGGGTATTTACCCATACTCGGTCGGGTATCTCCTTTGACTTGGCGATCAACGCCCATTTGACCGCTCAAACGAAGTCCGATTTACGTGAAATTTTATACACATGTACTTCTTGACGTCCTCAATCCAAAAACACCTTTTTGGATCCTTCGATCATCATATATATTGAATTATCACATTTTTAATCATCAAACTTACATAACATGCTTTTGAACTATATTTTACATATAAACATGGCATAACACATACTTGATTATCTTTAATCATTCCATAAAACATATCCTTGATTACTTTAATCACGATTATCTTTAAACCCTAAACCCTAAACCCTAAAGCCCAACACACACTTTGGATATTAAGGATGTGAATATTATCTCGAGGGTAAAAGAAAATATAAAAACTGAATGATATTACTCAAAAGCCCACTTATATTTCAGTAATTCGTTGATTACAGTTGAATTGCTCGAACGGTATGTCGAAACAGTAACTAATACAAGAACAAGATTGTGACACCACACCCAAACGTCCTTGAAATTCAAATTTAATTTCAAAGCTTATATATTGAATTTCCCAATTGTCGAACAATTGTAAAACGATTAAAGTTTTACGTAACGTGTGCTTAATCATATTACGTTTTGGGCTCGTATAATAGTAATGGACTTCCAAATAATTAATTGGGCCATCTTATTGATATTGGGGCCAACATTCTTAAATAAAAGATATATAACCCCTCGATACAAAGTAAGAACGGTCGGGCAGCCCAAATGTTATTTTGGGCCTAACCTGTTAAAAATAGCAATTATTCAAAAATAGCGTCCTAGACCCACTGGAGGGTAACCCACACGGCTAGTAGACCAGCTATATGAATAATAATGTCAAAAATAAGTGATAGAATGATTGGAGAAGAATACAAATGCCTATGATCCCATCTTTGGCATTGTTAAGCTAAATAATGGAAGTAGAGCCTTCTTTTATAATTATACATCATATAAATTATTGGGACCATCCTACACATATTAGAGATCAATAATATGATGTAGAAGGTTGACATGATCTAAATAAATTAGGATGAGTACAAAAAGTACATCGTATGACAAAAGACAAAAACAATAGGACCCATCTTTCCACTTTTGGAAGTATTGGTAGATATTTTGCTCCCAAATTAATTAGGGGCCATAAGAGTGTGCCCCACACCTTCCTAGAAACTTAAAAACAAGTAGAATAAGTTATAATACATAAATGGCGTGGACCTATTAAGTTGAGAGCTCAACAATACAAAAAGAAATAAAAGAGGAGGATCACCCCATGTTTGATTGCAATCAAACACCTTACCACCTTATTTTGTGAACCACATGCTAAGATATCATCATTGAAAGATCCTAGAGCCTTATCACAACCTCCATTCGGATTCTTATCTTGGGAGGAGTGGATAAGAGCTCACAACACACAAAAAAGGGGTAGAAAGAATTCTGGCCGCAGGGATAATTTCCAGTGCGTAGGTCTTCTTGTTCGACTTATATCTTGCGTTTTACTCATCCAAAAGGGGGGTGTGAGGTGTACACTGAAATCTCTCAAGATAAGGAATCCATAGATGTGCGATTTGAAGAAAACGGAGCATTTTAAAACCTCCAATTCGTCCGAACAAAACACAACCTCGCAGAATACGTTTTTGTATTCAAAGTAAGTTTGAATCCAAACCTTTTCCTTTCTATTGTCTAAATCATATAAATGATTGAAGAACTATTATACACTATTTCAAGTGTACAAAAATGTTATTATAAGCTTACTTTATTGTTGAAAAGGTTAGATACTAACCTAGACAAAACCTTGAAAGGTTAGAGAACAAATTCACCGGAAAACATCCGTTCTAGGGACTGTTTTCGTGTCTTCGGTTAGGAGCTGAGCTATCAGTTTGAGGAAGCTGTTTAACACTCATTTATAAATAAGGAATCAATTCTCAAACTCCCTTGGCCGAATCTTGAGCATTGGGTTGAGAAGGAACAATTTAAAGCTCATTTGAGGTGAGGATCGACATCTAGTTGCTTACAACTTGTAGGTTAAGCATGAGATTACCTAAATGTCTAAATCATGTTTTTCATGGATTATAATGACTGATTATTGATGAAATATCGATATATTAGATAAGGAATGAAATTGGAAATGATTTGAAATCATATTGATACGTACTACTTGACCCATCCCCCGTTCGGGATATTCAGGATTTAACTATTGTGGACCCCGGTTCCCGTTCGGGTCATAGTTTCTCATGGGCATGTCGCTCTTCTGGGGCCTTCAATGGTCTCTGGGCCGGGTGGTGGGCCTCCGGCCCAATAACCTAACAGATGTGTAATCCCTTTTAGGACAATAACAGATGGAGTGTAGCTTAGGGAGTTTGTGATTTCCTCCTCTTGTTAGGGTGTTTGTACGTGAGTCACATAAGGGAAGGAGGAGTAGTTATAGTGTGAAATAACCAATAATCACAATCTTTCATAATTTGTCCTAAAGGGTGTTACCACAATGATACCACTTAAGTATCATTTCCATCAAATAATACATATATATAATACACACACACACACACATATATATATATAATACATAAATATAAAACACATATTAATACTGATCAAGAGGAGGAAATAATCCCACGAGAGAAACAAGCTCTCAACTAGGGAGTTACATCATATATCTATACTGATGGGTTCAATAGTTCATACTTCAAAACTATACATACTTTCTCATAAGAATATACTCAAACTTCACTTGTTTCTTAAGGTTTTACGCAATGTTCTAAAAGTCTAACCTTAACCCTTCCTAGATGGTGCTCAAGCAAACTTATAGCATCTCCAATGCTACAATGTGCACGGTACACATGTGACATGAGAGACAGCCACATAAATATTAGAAAATAAATTATCTCTCTTCTTATTTGAATGTTGGTATATTTTTCTCTGCAATGTCAATCACAATGTCAAAATCTAGATGGTCTTCTTGACATTGTGGAGAAAAAACTTACCAAATTTTTATAAAATCATTCAAATAAGGAAAGATATACTTTATTTGCTAATATTTGTGTGACTATCTCTCATGAGTCATGCCTCATGTGTAACGTGCACATTCTAGCATTAAAGATGCTCTTAAAAATGATCAATCACACTTGGGAGTTAAGGGTGTTTGAAATTGACTCTACTTTTGTTTCACATATTGATGATTGTACATGTGCGTTTAGACGTGATAACAAATCAAACTGTTTGTTCAAAAAATACGTAGTACTGTATTAATTTTTTAGAATATTTAAAACTTAAATACAACTTGAACTTGTATCATGCTATATACATTTTTCAACTCAACTAGAATTCGAATTTTCTTTATCAAGTACGCTCCAATCTAACCGAACTCAAGTAAATCTTATGAAATGACGTAAACTAGTAAACTCTCTTGCCATTCGAGAGACACCTATCAATATGTGGTCTCTTCATTTTTTCCTTTTTGATTGTCCCAAAAAACTTTGACACTTTCTCATTAAAGTGTCAAAGTATCAACTCAACTATTTTGTTGTTCTGTTCATTTCTCTCTCCTCTGCACAAATTTCAACCATAAAATTTTTACTATTCTTATTTCTCACATAATTCAAAGAGCGCAAAGTCCATTGGGACAAAGGTAGTATGTAAATTGTCTCTAGATATCCACTCTATAAATGCAATCTACTTGGGCAAACTTACCCACTAACTCACCAAATTATTTTCTAAAATTAGATGAGAGAAGGTTAATTTAAAAAGTCAATAAGCCTTAAATTAGGAAATCTAATCTTAGGACAAATGAAAGGACTGAAATCACTGAATGTGATATACAAAGGACTACATGCGGTAAAAAATACTCTCTAGTCCCTACGTAATAGAGCATCTCCAACCTCGATTGAGATCCTCTACCATAAAGCAAAGTGCCTTACTCAAACGAATGACAGGGATTAAAAGTCAAGCCTCGAGATTTGTGTCAAAAATGGGGCCCTACATCTTCTACCCTCCATTGTTTGATCTGAGGGCTATAGAAAGTGAGGCATCCTCCTTGTCTGCTCCATTGTTTGATCTGAGGGCTATAGAAAGTGAGGCATCCTCCTTGTCTGCTTAACCAAGGCAGAGACGCTGGATCCCTCCAACACTGAGAATGCATTTTTGTAATCTATCCTAGTTTGCATAAGAAAGAGATAAATAAAGCATAACTATTTTAATTTCACATAAATAAAAAAATGTAGGCCAAAAAATTGGGGGAAAAACACAGATTTGAGTATATCATTTATCCTGAGATTTATTTGTTCATCTAACACAGGTTCAAGAAAGAACAAAGAGTTAATAATTAAATTTAAAATGAAAGATAAAACAAATTGGATGTGTTCTACATCAGAAAAAAGGATTGCAAGATAAACACTGTATAGTGGATTCTATATGTAACACACCAAACTAATGGACAGCATAGGAGAATTGGACAGGCTCGTACATGCCCAAGGTGGCAAAACTTGTGAAGTAAAAGAAACGTGTGAAATTGGCAATACATTCTATTGCTCTAGAGCAAATTTCCTCCCATGGCTCGGTATACAAAATTTGTATGTACCATCATTCCACTTTAAGAACAACCTTCATGAACTCGTAAATAAAATAGCTCATGGATGCCGAAGGTAAAACCTGAAGATTAAAAAAAGTAGCTTTGGTCAGTGTTGCTTGGCTGGAATGGCTGAACCAGCTAAATTCTCGGCAGATAAAGAGTCTGTTTGGTTGTGGCGGGAATGGTTAATTTGACTACTTGAAAATATATTTTTTAAATAAGTTAATGAAAATATTATCTAAAAATAAGTAAAGCTAAAAGCAGCAATTTTATACTACGTATCTTTTTGCCAAATAGTTACTCTTCCACTACTTATTTCATTATTATCCAATTCAGCTGGCGTGATAATAATAGTTAGTTTTCATGAAAAGTAATGTCAACTAATCGGGTTCTAAGTAGGTCAAAAGCTACTTTTTGTACTTGCTGATGGCCCTGCTCATACACAGATAAGCCGATTATGGGCTTATGGTCAATTGACCACCAAACAGAGCCTTATTCAAAAGACACTACTGAAAAGGTTGATAAGACAAGAAAAGTGGCTACCAAAAAGAGCTTTATTACCTGCAGTAAGCTGGGGAACAATCCAGCATAAAGAGCAGGAATGCCTCCCTTTTCAACTATCTTGGAAGTAATTGCAAATGCACCCAGTTTGGGTGCTCTCCCCTGCAACTGAAGCTGTTTTCTCACGACCTCAAAAGGATAGGAAGCAACTTCTGCACAAGCACCAGCAATGGCACCATGCAGTAATGTTCGCTTTGGTCCTAATTCTAGTCGCTCAAAAGCACTCATTTCCTGATCCCTTTGCATAAAACTCTGCATCCTTTTCCTTCCTTCTGGTGATCGCAGATAACCAGATTTTAATATATCATATACACCATAAAATACTGCCGCTGAAGGGGCCATGCTTAGAATGGAGGGTAGTAGACCCTTGTACAGTGAAAAGAACCCTTCTGTTTGGATCACATGATGAAAAGCTCCAATTACACCTCCCATTGCTTCACCACCAGGTGCCACCAATTTAGTACGAATCTGAAATGTTTACAAGTTTTTCAATATAAAACAAAGGGAAATAGTGCAAATATGCCTATGATGTTTGACCTGATGTGCATATTACCTATTAGGGTCCGTTTGGAGCACGAGAAATACTAGGGAAAGTAGAGAAATATATAATGGAATAACAATTCGAAGGAAAGTCAAAGTAGAATGAAACTCAATACACTTATTATAGCTAATTTGTTCAAATCTATAATTTATTTCCGAGTGAGACATGTGGGGCATGTTTGGTTTCGTAAAGACTAATAAAACTAAGTTGATGTATAAAAATAATTAAACCACATTACATTTCATTGTACTATGTACTCCGTATTTCTTAAGGTAAATCCAATCATTAGAAATCGCTTTTCTGAGTTTCCCATACCCATCTTTAGTAGCGCAATATCCATGTTCCATACATATACCCCTAGGGCGCATTTGGAACTCAGATATCCGGAAGGAAAAGAAAATGTGTCAGAAAATAATTATTTGACATCCATATATTGATTCCGGAAATTTGTTTATACCCGCTATATAAGGACAGAAATCTACATATATGTATATGTGAAAAGTTAATCAAATGTGATGTTCCTTTCCCGACATCTTTTCGGGTTCCATAATATTTTTTGGTGCAAATTTAGCGCTTGTGTTTGCCATTGGGTGAAGAACTGTGTTTACTTGTTTAGGCACAATCTAGTCTAGTTTTGTAAAAGAAATGGCTGCTTCCAGCCAGGGCGGATTTTAAGGAGTCTGTGAGGGCCTTAGCCCTTGCTCAATATTTTTATTACTGTGTCATACAGCCATTATATTATTACAACATAAATTCATTTTAGAAAATGGAAGATCATATATGTTGAATGCAAGTCAGATTTAAATTATTGACAATGTATTAATTAACTTCTTCAGAGTTTAGTTGTTGTATATTATACTTTTTATAGGTCCGCAATAAGCAAGAGTCCTAGTTCAACATGTCAACAGCATGACTTACAGTGTCTAACGGCAAGCAAATAAGAGCAGCAGTAATACCAGCTGCAGCACCGGCAACAAACCTCTCGGTGTTTGTAGTTTCTTCATTCCCAGATAATCTCGTTAATTGCTTCCTGTAAGTGTCATAAGCACAGAAGTTGACCGCCTTAAAAGGAGCTGTACGAAGTATGTTCACAAAGTTTCCCTTCCAGAAGCCTCTCAAGCCTTGAGTAGTTGCAATGACTTTAATAAGATCAAATATGTCCTTCTGTTCACCACAAACTATGTATTCTAGCTTCAACCTCTCAAGTGGGGCCACAAAAGTTCTGATAAAACAAAAGATGAGTAAGTGAAAAGGAAAGTGTTACAATCACTAACATGGAATTATCATTTAGTAGCAGGTGTACTTGAAATGGATTAGAGTGCAGTCACGAGTTGACATGGTAAAAACTTAGGTCACTAAACTAACATTATCATGCCCTCATGGGTAGTTTACTTGGTCCAGAGGTGATAATTTAGAGTAATGCCCAAAGATCAAATTCCCCCTATAAAGTGGGGAGTTACACCTCAAAAATTGAGGAGGGCTCAGGAGATGGGGAGTCCTACGGTGGGAGATTCCACCTTTGGGAACAGCAGTAACATTGAGCTGGTATCCACCTAGCAGATAGACTATGACATTAAGGGCCTGTTTGATAGTATTGGGTTGAAAATCTTGGATGTACTGATTTTTTGAAAGGAAAGGTGTTTGGTAACATCAGAATAAAAAGCCTAAGCTGGAATAAGGACTCCTATAAAGATTAGACACCGTTATTGTTTTTAAATTTTGCCAACTACATACACCCCATACAGATACAGGACTATATAGTATTATAGTCAATTGCAGCCATTAAACTTGCCACGTCATAATCAGAACATTCACGATGGCGTCTCCCCCAATACATGGCCAGTGAAAGACACAACTGCATCATAGTTCATTTGGTTTTTTCCACTACTCTTTCTTTTTCTCATTTCACCTTCAAGGCGAGCAGCACAAGTTGTTGACTTGTTGTAAGGGTCTGATTGAACCAGGTAAATGCTACGAAAAGAAAATATGGTTGAAACTCAATAAATCAATTCTAGATATTTGTTCAAACTCATTTAAATTATATATTTACAAGCCTGTATGGTGACTTCTGCAAAATGTGCTATAATTACTTGAGTTATGACTGAAATGGAGCAATCTTTTGAATTGTGGAATAATTATATTTAAAATATGTTTTTTTGTAATAATATATAGTTATATACTAGTATGTATTTGTCAGTGTGTGCACGCGAGCTTTATAAAAGAAGCTAAAAATTCCCTCATCAAAGAATATGTCCAGTCATACTTATTTTTATTACTCCGCATTACAAAATTCACCCCAGTGCACAAATGGAAAAAAAACTAATCTATGAAAAATCCTGGATTCCAGGTTGATAATGCTGATAGCATGATAAACAAAAAAATGGACTAATAGCACTATATAATATAAAGGCTGAGGCATAAAAAGTATGCCAAAAAAGGGGTTAATCAAATATTATTCTATTTCTTACCTTCTCATGTAAAACAGAGCATTAGCTTTTTTAGGAAATTTAAATTTCCCTACCTTTTCAGCATTCCAAACATAGCCTAAAACTACAGACCATAACTACTACGGAGTATTAAATGTAAAAGTGACTGCAATTAGATATCCAATTGTAATTTGCCAAAAACAATCAAGAAGATAATGAATAACAGAGCTGAGCGCAAATGAAAAGCACAAACCGTGATATCATAGCTGCGACAGCTCCCGCCCACAAATGTTTAGTAGTATTGACAGCTCCGTGTCTCCGAGACCCAATCATTCGCTTCTGATCCAAGGGTGCTCCACTTCCGGTTTCCACAGCACTGCCGACCTTATCACTATTGTGTCTCAAACATTCCCCAGGACTCCCATCAACCACATCTCTTTTTCTATCCCCTGCCGATAAGCTCACTGATAAAAATGATTCCCCGGTGCCAGTTCCTCTGCGGAACCCCGTTCTCCGGCGACATTTTACAGACAAGGACTTCAAAATCGAAGGCGGTGCCGGTACAGCAAGGTCGAGAAACAAACCCCCGCATAAGAGATTTGGAGTTGGGCCGTCGAGATTTGGCGATTTGTGCTTCTCACACGGCAGATAAAGCTTGAGCCGGATTGCGTTATCGAATCGTGACATTCTCTGAAGTGCAATTTCAGTGAACTTTCAAGCTGTGTGGTTGGAGTGGAACGTTAGAGATGGATGATGTTGGATGAAATGGCGGACTTTCAGCCTTCCTTCCCTCTTCCATGATCGCACACAGTCCATACTGCTTGTTTTAACCCGCTGAATAGGCGCGCCGGTTTGCTGCACGAACGGATTAAGGTGAAAGGGAAGAAAAATCGACTGTGCTAAGAATATTGGATGGTTGCATCAAAAAAAAATTGAAGAATTGTGGCCACTTTTAAGTTTTTGACACACCATGATCTACTTGATCTCAAAAAGAAAAATTATCTACTTATATTTTGGTGCACTTATTTCGAAAATAGAAATAACTCCAAATAGGAGGAAAACCAGAGTAAAAAAAAAAGAATTTCTTATGTTTTTATTCCAAAATAGAATCATATTACTCATATTTTGAAACATATGTATTCTATCATTACATTTTTACTCCTCCTTTAAATATTAGTAAAATGTACTCAAAAATCATAATTAAATGTTTTAATTCATAATAAAATTGTAAAAAATAATAAGAAACGTAGAAAAATAATAAAAAAATTAAAAAATATATAAAATAAAATTTTAAAACAAATATAAATAAAAAATAATAAAAACGGTAAAAATACATAAAAATATAAATATATGGATGTCTAAACCACCGCATGTACTGCCTCCCTGCACCACCACCTTCGATAGGTTTAAAAAAATGTCATTTTTTTATTAATGTCATTTTTTTTCTAGAAATACCAAAAAAATCGCACGAGAACCAACCCTCATGTGTGATTCCCTGAAAAGGGTACCCAGAACAAGCTTGGCAGCCTTGGTGTGCTCCCCAGTTATATTCCAGTCCCCTCATTAACTTCAGCTTTACTAATAACACTTGATTCCTCACAGGCTTGCATTTTTCCTGCTCGATCACTGGGCTTCAGAATTCCTGTTGGGACATGAGTGAGCCTTCGGTGATTGAGAATACCTTGCGAGCCACCCGGCGATTGAGGGGGCGGTAATAAAAATATGTCATTCTTCGTAGTATACCTGACAAATCGTCCAAGAGCTTCTCGCGGGCACTCACCTTTGGCAACCTCTGGAGGAGCTTCCCTGCTTGACGACGTAACCGATATGTAACCTCTGGAAAAAAAATTACTCTTTGAGAATGCCAAAATTTTCATTGAATCTGGCATAATTATGGCATTCCTAATGCATGTAACATTTTTTTCGGTGACCGGAGGTGGTGGTGTTGGGGTGGCAGAGGCGGCGGTGATTTTTCTTTGCATTTTTTATGTTTTCATTTCTTTTCATTTTTTCCCCGGTGAACGGAAGTGGTGGTGCTAGGGTGGCAGAGGCGGCGGTGATTTATTAATTTTTTATTCTTTTTTATGATTTTCTATTGTTTTTTATGATTTTATTATGAATTAAAATATTTTAATAGCTACAAGGTGTCCAAACAAACATAATTAGTCCTAGAGTTTTTGCCATTTGCGGTCCCCTGACTATTGTGTCATTGACACTTTTGGTACTCGATTTTTAGTTTTTCCAATTTTAGTCCTTGACTATTGTGCTACATACACTTTCAATCCTCGACTTCAAAGTTTTCCACATTTAGTCCCCAGGGTATTATCAAATTGACACTTTTAGTCTTTCCACTTTGATTTTGACACAAAAATTAAGGACTAAAAATGTCATTATTACAATAGTTGAAGGACCAAAAGTGTCACTTTTATGAAAGTAGGAGGACTAACTAAGGAAATTTTCAAATAAGAGTACCAAAAGTGTCTCTAGCACAATAGTCAAGGACTAAAAGTGGAAAAAATAAAAGTTGAATACCAAAAGTGTGAAAGACATAATTGTCGGAGGACTAAAAGTGACAAAAATTCTTGGTCCTACTAGTGAGTTAAAAACAATAGTCTCGTTTGTGATCATTGACTACCTTTTACTCCTATTTAGATAATTAACTCTTTCGAAGATGTCATTTATAATGGGGACTTCTATTTTAAAACATTTTCAATTCTTTCCGTTTGGTGGACATAACCCATCAAAAATTACATGGGTGTCAATATGTTATGCGCTTCTTTTGTGAAGACCATCTCCAAAGCAACTCATAGTAGTAAATTTACTATGTATAATAATGTATGTCATGTATTTCAAATTCTTGTTTGCCTAGCGGGATTCGAACTCGAGACCTCCCACAACCATTTGAGCTGGAGTGCTTGGTTGTATGTCATGTATTTATGTACTCCCTCCGTTCCTTAAAGGTTTGCCAAGTTTGACCGGCACGTAGAATAATAAAGTAAAAATTGTGTGGTAGATATTTGTGCAGAGGAGAGAGAAATAACAAGAGCCACAAATTGATTAACTAAAATGGAAAGTGGCAAAGTTTTTGGGACAACCAAAAAAGGAAAGTTGGCAAAGTTATAAGGGACGGAGGGAGTATAATCTTTCTATCTATAATAATATAAAGTAATAAGTTGTACATATATTTGGCATCTAAATTCCCCTCCGGTGAAAATTTCGATCACAATAATATTGTTTTAATGGGGTTGGTTTCAATCCTAAACCGGACCGAATTAAACCATACCACACCTAAAAAAGAATGGAGTGTGATGTTGTGTGTTCAAGTGTAGTTTGGTCTGATCCAATCCAGATTATGACTTAAACCAGTTTGATTAAATTATCCTTATTGTGTGACAGTTTAACTAGAGGGGGAATTTAGGTACCAAATACATATCTACGTAGCACTATTTATTGTCTTATATTGTACTAGTAGTTGTGACGCGCGTTGTGCGATGGGCTAAATGCCCAATACAAATTAGTAGAGTATTTTTTTTGAGTGTATTAAACTATTACGTAGTATTTCATAGCGGTTAAGGCACACATGAATGGATAATCGATTAAAATAGTTGTAAAAAAATATATCGTTGGAGTGTAAATTCTTATTAGTAGGAGCTTTTAGTTATCTAGTTATCTTGGTATAAATTGAATATCATTGTTTCCGGCCCAACAAATTTTTTTCCCCACAAGGAATACTCATGTCATTCTACGGAATTTCGAGTCTTTTTATTAGCTCGTATTTTTGGTGTAATGTTTTATGGAATGTCGGTAGTGGTTGTGACTTATGGTCAATTCGATAGAAAAAGGGAACGTTGATTGGTTCCCAATGGAAGAAAGGGAGGAACGCCAATGGAGGAAGCTATAATTGGTTCCCTTCAAATCCTTAATGATATTAAAATCAAGGTAAACGACCCAAGACTGAAAAGATGACACATTTGTTTGTGGAAGCTAAGATTAATGGGCAAATTACTAGAGTTTTTTTTGACACTGGAGCTTCCCACAACTTCTTAGAAGTCAAAGAAGCAATGAGGTTGGGAATATCATTGTGATTCAACTAAAGCTAAAACAATGCCAAGTATCCATTGTACCATTGTGGTGATATATCGCCAATGTTTATGAAATTCAAGTCAATACATACCTATTTTTTTATCATGCATACCTGCTTTTTAATACATTCTAAATACATCAAGTCTAAATACGATTTTTTGAACTATAAAAAAATCTCCAATGAGCATTAAAAGTTTCCCCACTTACCTTAGCTTCCATGAACATACATCCACTCTTCTTGATCTTGGGGTCGATTACATGGTTTTAGTGACATTAAAGATTTGAAGAGAACCAACCACAACTTCCTCTCGCTGGCGTTCCTCCCTTGCTTTCCACCAAGACATAGAACTTTGCTTTCTTTGAATATTACTTACCTTTGTGTGATCCCTCACAAAAAGCCACCATAGAGTTGATAGAGATCATTGAAGTCATTCTTTTGTGAGGGACCACACAAAGCTAAAGAATGATGCAAAAAACAAAGCTTCCTATAGTGAGAAAAGTGGAGAACATGAATTGACCTTGTGAAATTACAAGGTTGTGTTCAAGACATTCTCTAACTATGTATGGTCCCTCAATGTTAAGGAACATCACTATATGTTCAGAAAAAAGGAGATGACCATTGTGGTGCATTGTTTAAGGACATGAAGACATTACTTGTTTGGGTCTAAGTTAGTGATGAAGACAGACAACATGTCAACAAATTACTTCATCAATCAAAAGAAATTGACGTCAAAAGTCGCAAAACTTCCAAACGGAGTTTGACTTCGTGATGAAGTAGAAATTGAGGAAGACAAATATTGTGGCAATGATTGAGTAGAAAACGGCCGTGTGGAGATTACAAAACCTGAAATAAGGCTGGACCTCTGATGCGCACGTGTATAAGATCTACAACCGCTTTATTGACTGAGTCACCGTAATTAACCTCCACACCATCCTGTCGGGTCGAGGTGGGAGGCCTTGGGGTTGGACATTCAACCTTTTGGACCAAATGATTGAGTAGAAAAAGTGAATTAGCCACCATCTAGAACACAGCTCAATGCCAAATCGATGACCGGAATCACCGGATATAACCGTCATCCAACAAGTTCTTTCGTCTCTTTCATTTGAATCATTTCTACTGGCATATGGACTAAATGAAATGCGTCGGCGAACCAAAAAGTGGCCCATCCAAGTAATTTCCCCTAATGGCAAAGGCCCATTATTTGACCATAGCCAATGTCAATCTCCCCTCTTCAGTCCATCGTTACTTTCGTTCCTTTCCAATCTTCTTCCGAAAAAAGCCCATCAACTCAGTCCATCATCACCGGGGCACATCCGCCGCCTTCTTTCAAACTCCATCACCTGCGCCCCTACTCCGTGTGATATCTATCTGCCTGGAAATTCCATTTCCCAGCTCTGCTTTCATGTGCCGTGCGATAGACGCTTAACTGTACGCTCGTGAAGTGTTCTATCTACAAGCATGGGCAAGAAGAGGCAGAAGATAGTGCTCCCACCGGAGCTTCCGCGGGAAGTTCCGGATGAAGAAGTCCAAGTATCAGATGACGACTTCGATTTCGTTGATCAAAATCGAGATTATGCCAGTTTGTTGAAGAATCTGGACACTAAATCTATTACAAAGTACAACTTCTCGTAGCCTCTTCCTTTAGCAGTGATATTTGAGGCTTGTTTGTAACGGAAAATGTACCTTATATAGCGTATTCGTCTGATAACTAGATTGTTTTGGCTCAGTTTCTCAGTTTCTTGGGTCAATAGTTGAAAGTTGGAGTTTGATATGAGTTTGTGCCAAGAAACTGAGAAACTGAGCCAAAACAATCTAGTTATCAGACGAAACTGAGAAACTGAGCTCCATGTAGAATCAGCGGGATTAAATGCATATCTTAAGACGGATCAGCGGGAGTTTCGTTTTTTACCATTTGTTATTGACTTCTTCCCCTGGAAGTCTATTTCTATTCTTGCTAACCCAGTAATACTTGTTTTGCTTCCAAATGTTGTTAATCCTATTCATTCTGCTTGATAAGACATGTTACTCGCATAGCTGATGTCAAAGAGGATGCAGTTGAAGCTTTATATGAACGGAGATCAAGGAAACGATCACATATTGAAGAAAATGAGAAGGATACCATTGAAGTAGATCCTGTGGATGCACTTCCCGTGAAGACTTTAGATGGAAAACTTTATTACAGGACATGTGCGTAATTGAATTGCATTATACTACCCTCATCACAAAATTAAGTTCTAGGTTGCTGAGCTCTCCCAAAAAAATCTCAACTGGGCTTTTTAATCTACTCATTCATTTCATTTCATTCATCATTACCCTAGTGCCGCAAAGGCTCCCACCTATGGTGGGGTAAGGGGGGTCGGATGTACGCTGTCTTACCCCTGTACTAAAAGCACAAAGAGACGGTTTCCGAATGACCCAAGTGGGCTTTTTAATCTACTACGTAGTATTTTATACACCAAACATTTAGCATATCTGAATTCATTTTATGCAGTCCTAGTATAGTTTCAAAAGATGTAAGTTTTAATTATTAATACTAATTTGATTATAGTGAGGGAGAAGTTAAGTTTATTGTCAGTTAGAATATCCTAATCTGAAGTCGGAACCTCTTTTTGGTACGGAAAGGGTATAATTTTTTCAGATCAAATGGGTCACAGAGCATGCACTTTTTTAATTTCTACTCCGTATTTTTTATTTTTGCAGTGTCAAGGGGACCAAAGAAAGTAGAAAGCAAACAGGACAGTGAACCTGCTGGTGGTGATGAAGATGCAGGCGGAAACATAGTGAAACTGAGCAAGGCAGAGAAACGTGCAAAGTTTAAGAAAACAAAAAAAGAGGCAAAGAAACAAGCAAAGGAAGGAGTTGACCTGGAACAACTGCATTACGCACCTCAAGCTGAAGTGTTGGTATGCAACATTTACGCAGTTTCATGTTTTTGGTTTCGTACATTGTTGCACATCTCAACATCAGTGATGTTTTTTAAGATTTACAAGCAAAAGCACATTATACTCTAGGACAGAGTAAATATAATAACTGAACTGATTGCTTTGCTAGTGGAATAAGTAATGGATGTGTCATATTACATGGTGAAAATGACACCTTATTCATCTGTTACTTAGTCTGCAAATACTCCGTATATATTTATATACAGTACATGCATATATTCATATAATATCTTCATGGTGTTCTTCATGGCTCTTTAGGATGAGGTCAGGAAGGAGTTGATAGTTGAAGAGGATAATGAGAAAAAGAAGTATAAGCTTGCTGAGCTAGGTACAGCCTTGCTTACTGATCCAGAAGCAAACATCAAATCTCTCAAGGAGATTATGCAGATTTGTAAAGACGGAGATCATGAGATAGTCATACTTAGTCTCAAATCTTTGCTAGCTGTTTTTAGAGACATCATTCCTGGGTGAGAGTTGCTATATTGTTTTAAGGAATGTTTTTCCTTAATTTATAATCTTCTATGCTTGACAGAATTCAGTTTGTTATTCTTTTTTATCTTTTCTTTTTCTAACGACAATATTATTATTGTTATGCAGCTACCGCATTAGACTGCCAACAGAAAAAGAGCAGGAAATGAGAGTGTCGAAAATTGTTAAGAAAATGCGATTTTATGAATCAACCCTCTTGTCTTCGTATAAGGTTAGATTTTGGACCTGGCAGATCAACACTTGATGGATATCAAGCAGTTACAATTTCAACTTACAAATGGCAAGATGCAATTATTAATTTATTATCTGTCATTTATTCTAGTTTCCAGACTTCCAGTAGATGCATATGTGCACTCCTTTCTCCCACTTTATTTTTAGTACTTCTCTTCGTAGGATATTTAACTCCACTTCTTCTTCCTCGGTCTTGAACAGAAATAGAGCATGTAGTTTCCTCCACATACTTCACGTTTTGAGCAGAGCATTTCAATTGAACAAAAAAGTATACCACCTTAGGATGGGCTTATTTTCCTTAACTTTGATGTATTTTCTAGGCTGTCTTACTTTCTGCTATTTTTTTAAGAGGGATAAATGGATAATATTTTATCAGTCTAACGGTGATGGATTAGTAACACATTTTGTTGTTGGTATGCTCTGAAGCACCTTTAATGTTAACAGCATTGCATTTTTTACCTAATTGAGAATCCAAAGAGGGTGAGTTGAAACACCGCAGAGATAGCAAAACAAACTATTGACAACGCCTAACACCTAAGTTTTTTTTTTAATTTTCTTTACCAGAGGTAAACGTGGTATGCATGTTCATTTATCTGATTGCCTAAATAAATTCCTTCTTTGTTTTTAATTAAATATCAGTGTTGGGATCGTTTTGTGCATAAGATTTCTTATCTTATTTGCATTTTGCACAAATAAACATAGTTTGTGACTCTAAATGATTTTAATGTTCACCTCACTATGCATAAATAGGCCTACGTGCAGAAGCTGATTGCACTAGAAAAGAACGATGTCTGCAGACGTGTGGCTATGCGCTGCATTTGCATTCTGCTTGAGGCAGTTCCTCACTTCAATTTTAGGGATAGTCTGGTGACTGCAGTTGTAAGAAACATAAGCTCTCAGGATGACATTGTAAGGTAATATATATTTTTTTACTTTATACTTGAAGACTTCGTTTACCTTTTGTGTTATGAAATATTGAAATTATTAATTAATTTGGGGTTGCTCCTGATTTATGATTTTACAGTCCTATTTTTACTGACCCTTTTCTTATTCCACACACTGCTTGGTCACAGAAAACTTTGTTGTGGAGCTGTAAAGTCACTTTTTACAAACGAGGGGAAACATGGTGGTGAGGCTACCGTAGAGGCTGTTCAGCTGATTGCAAACCTGGTTAAAGTTCACGATTGTCAGTTGCATCCTGATTCTATAGAGGTGTGTGACTTATAACATAGACCAGAAGTTAAGCTTTTAATGAATATTTGTAATTCGATACCGTTATTAAAATTGAAACAGCATCCCAAGCTCATAAACTGAAAACACTGATGAACACATGTTTTTTCCTTTTATCTGAAGTTCGTAAGTCGTGTTTGCTCCTTGTGGGAAAAGTTTACTTGAAATCTTAGTATATCCCTTCTGTATCTGATTTTGGCAGTTATAACTACTTCTGTCTTCAAATTGCTTCAAAAGAATTGCATTTTTTTCTTTATCACCATCACTTGAAGCATGTATCTTACTATATTGACTCTTTTGTTTTATGTTTCAAATACTACACGATTAAAAGGAAAAATGTTAAGTACCACATTTTAATTTTAGATGCTATTTGCTGCTATATCAGGTTTTATTGTCCTTATATTTTGATGAAGACCTTGGGAAGCCTGAAACGTCAGAGGCAGATAATAAGATGAGCAACAAAAAATATAGGACAAAGAAGTTTAGGGAGTCATATCATGCCTCAGAGAATGAGAAGAAGAAAGCTAAAAAAGAGATGATGTCAAAGACAAGAGAGGAGGTTTCTTTTACTTAATGACTAGTGGTCATTTTTATTCTTTTGTAGTTGCATGTTCATATATTTTCATGTTGTACAGATTAATGCAGAACTAAAAGCTGCATCATTTGCCAAAGATGTGGCGGAGCGGAGAAGGATGCAATCTGAAACACTATCAGCTGTATTCCAGATATTTTTCCGTGTCCTGAAGCATGCTGCTATACAGTTTAGGTACAACTACTGTACTTATCATATTGATGAAGAGAGAAATAAGTTGTACCACAAATTAATTACTTTAAAAGGAAAGTGGCAATGTTTTTGGGACAAACAAACAAACAACATCCAATCCTTAATCCCAAAAGAATTTGGGGTCGGCTAACATGAATAGGTCTATGATATCGATGTCAAACGAAGAGACATACGGGGGAGAAGTAAGATTAAACGGATAAAATAAACATGAATAAATATAAGATAACAATAACATAAAAATATAAGAAAGATAAAAGAGCATAAAAAAGCTAGAAGATAAAAATAACATAAGAATATAAAAAGATAAAGAAGACAAACGATAAAAGAAAAGAGAGAGGAAATGTAGCAAAGACATCAATCGTCCACACGGATGTGCGCCCCCCACTTTGCCCTCTCCAAAGCCATACTCCCATCCAACCCAAGAAGACGCATATCAGTTCTGATTCCTCTAATCCAAGTCTGTTTGGGTCTTCCCCTCCCTTTCTTCTGTATCTCTTCTCCCCACCCCTCAAGTCGTCTAACAGGTGCATCACTCGGCCCTTCTACGCACATGCCCAAACCACCGCAAACGAGACTCCCGCATCTTATCTTCTATAGGTGCTACTCCCACCTTTTGTCTGAGTATCTCATTCCTCAAGCGGTCTTTTCTGGTATGTCCACACATCCCAAGCAACATACTCATCTTTGCCACACTCATCTTTTGAATGTGGCGTTGCTTCACCACCCAACACTCTACGCCATACATTAATGCAGGCCTAATTGTTGTTCGATAAAATTTACCTTTCAGTTTAGTCTTCATACCTCGATCACATATAAATCATGATGCACTATTCCATTTCATCCACCCAACTCTGATTCTATGACATACATCTCCATCTAATTCACCATCCTTCTGAATTATGGAGCCCAAATAACGGAATATATCACACACCGATATCTCCTTACCATCAAGAGTAATCCCACTGTTGCTACTACTTCTACCTCCACCAAACTTGCACTCCATATATTCAATTTTGCTTCAGTTCAATCTCAAACCCTTGGTCTCCAATGTTTGTCGTCATACTTCCAACTTCGCTTTAACACCAAATCGCGTCTCATCAATCAAAACTATATCGTCGGCAAACATCATGCACGACGGTATATCTTCTTGAATTGACTTTGTAAGTTCATCCATGACTATAGCAAATAAGAAAGGACTCAGAGCAGATCCTTGATGCACTCCGATAGTAATAGTGAACTCTGCGGTCCTCCCTACACTAGTGCGGACACTTGTAGGACGAGCATCATACATGTCCATGATGATATTGATATACTTACGTGATATGCCTTTTTTAGTTAAGGCCCACCAAAGGACTTCTCGAGGTACCCTATCCTATGCCTTTTCTAAGTCAATGAACACCAAATGGAGATCCTTTTTTGTGTTTCTATACTTCTCCACAACTTGCCTAAGAATGTGAATGACCTCAGTTATTGAGCGTCCAGACATAAAACCAAACTGATTCTCCGAAATTTTCACACTTTTACAAAGTTTTTGCTCAACCACTAGCTCCCAAAGTTTCATGGTGTGACTCATAAGCTTAATCTCTTGATAGTTGGCACATTCTTGTACATCACCCTTATTTTTAAATAGGGGAATGAGAGTACTCTTCCGCCAACTCACTGACATTTTGTTGTTTCTCCAAATCATGTTGAAGAAATGTGTTAGCCAGTCGATGCCTTTCTCTCCCAAACTTCTCCAAGCCTTGATCGGTATGCCATCTGGGCCCACTTCTTTCTTCCACTCCATTTTTCTCATAGCCTCTTTAACTTCTGTTGTTTGAATCCTTCTCACGAAGTCCCGATTTACCATACACTCTGGTATAGTAAGATCATCAATACCTTGCACTTTATTCCCGTTGAACTAGATATCAAAGTATTACCCCCACCTCTCTTTTATTTCCTCGTCCTCTATTAGTACCCTTTGATCAACAATCTGCACACACTTAACTTTTCCAATATCTTGAATCCTACGGCCACGAAGAAGTCTGTAGATATATTTTTCTCCTTCCTTAGAGTCCAATTTTACTTACAATTCCTTGTTCACTTTTCCTCTGGCTTCCTTCACATCTTTCTTTGCTCTTCTTCTAGTCTCCTTGTACTTCTCTAAGTTCTCGTCACTCCGACTTTTGCCCAATTTCTTATAGCATTCCCTTTTGGTCCTTATTGCTTGTTTCACCTCATAGTTTCACCAAGCCGTGTCCTTTTTTGGTGACAGACATCCTTTAGATTCTCCGAGGATTTCCTTCGCCACTTTGGTTTCGGGACAAACAAAAAAAGAGAATTGGCAAAGTTCAATGGGACGGAAGGAGTATCTAATTTGAATTTTTCCTTTCCTAACATTTTACATAATTCAACATTCCCTAACAGAATGGAGAAACACAGAAGTTAGGAATACCCTTGGGTGTTTTAAGATATTTTAACCAAACCAAACATACAAAGTATGTATATCGCTCTAGGGACTGTAGAGTAGTAGGATCTAGGGGGGATTTTTCAGGACATATGGTTTATACTCCCTCTAGTTCTAGTTATCTGTCAAGGTTGAGTAAATCACAATGTCTAAGAAAGTGTATTAATGTTTAAATGATGGGTACTAAACTTATCATAACTTCAAGGGAAAATTGTCAATTTGGTCCTCGTACTTTCATGAAAAAGTCGATTAGGTTATCGTACTTTAAAAAAAATCAATCAAATCCCCGAACTTTGTAAAAACGTTCAATTGAGTACAATTGCAGGTTACTTGCCATGTCAGCAGGACACCCGTTGATGTGGCGCGCACATGATGGTCCATGTGGCGCACACGTCATCAACAAATGGTTGACTGGACTTCACTTGTGTGTCACGCTAGCGAGTGACCTGCTGACATGACCTGCAAATGGACTCAATTGAACGTCTTTACAAAGTTGGGGTGTTTGATTGATCTTTTTAGAAGTATGAGGACCTAATTGACTTTTTCATGAAAGTACGAGTACCAAATTCACAGTTTTCCCCAACTTCAAATATATTACCTAAGAAGGATAAATTAAAAATATATATTTGATGTTCATAGATTTCATAGATGTACCAATAAAAAGGAACAAGGAAAGCTGGTATGAACACAAATAAATAGGAGTAACCAAGTAAGAGTATCTGAGTATGATTGTATCAAACACAGGATGTGTGGTTGCATGACATTTGTATGTTTCCATGATTATATCAGGTCTGCAACAAGTTCTTCTCCTGCTGCATCGTTGAGTCATCCTCTTCTTGCTCCTTGTCTGAAAGGAATCGGAAAATTCTCTCATTTGCTTGATGTGATGTATATGTCTGATCTCCTGAAGTATCTGAGAAAACTCGCCGGGGGTGGTGTCAACGTCAACGGTTCTTCTGAAAGTGATTCAACAAATTTGACAGTAACTGAAAGGCTGCAATGTTGCATTGTTGCTTTTAAAGTCATGAGAAGAAATCTAGATGCCCTGAATGTAGATCTTCAAGAGTTCTTTGTCCAACTTTATAATATCATACTCGAGTATAGGCCTGGAAGGTAATTCTCATGTATATGCAAATAACTGCAATGGTGCAATGTTCTCTGTCCAAATAAAGTTGTCATGTTTGAGCAATGTACTCCCCACATATATTAGCTTCTTATGTTCCATTTTGTCCATCTCAAGATTATCTTTCAATTTCGTTATAAAGAAAGAATTGTATGGGAGATTATATTTTTCTTGCTAATTAATTCTTAACCACAAGAATACAACGATTTATGTTTGTTTTCGGTAGAACCATCAATCATTAATTGTAAATTTATTTGTTGGTTTAACTAGATGTATCATATGTAATACAGGTGAGTCTTTCAGGCTAAATCTTTGACAAATTACCTGAAAAATATTCTTCATTTGATCAAACTGAAGCAAGTCTTTAAAAATTAATTTAGTATTTTTGTAAGCGGGAAGCTTCTTTTTATGTTTTTTATAGCTAATATTTTTTTCTTTATACATTCTACATTTTGGAATGTTGTAGGGATCAGGGAGAAGTGTTAGCCGAAGCATTAAAGATCATGTTGTGTGATGATAGGCAGCATGATATGCAAAGGGCTGCAGCTTTTATAAAACGCCTAGCGACTTTCGCCTTGTGCTTTGGTTCTGCGGAGTCCATGGCAGGTCTGTTAGTTACAGTTGTACCCTTGTTAAGTGAAGGGACATCCATGCAGTATTTTCATTGCTTCCATAGTTTTATGAAATGTTAGTTTGGGTTTCTTTCAATAATTTCAGCACTGGTTACCTTAAAGCATTTGCTCCAGAAGAATGTGAAGTGCCGGAACTTGTTAGAAAATGATGCCGGTGGTGGTTCGGTTTCAGGTGCCATTGCGGTAAGGATAATTTTGTGGTTAGGTTATCATAAAATTATAAGAATCTCACATGGAAGCCTTTGCATTTTCTGCCAAAGAATGTTTATATTGCCCTTGTCTGGTTTGAGGATACCATGTTGGTGGGTGGGGGTAGATAATGTTTTATTGATATATTTTTAGATTTATGTTGTTGTAAAGGATGATGAAAGAGTATATACATATGAACGATTTAACTGAGAATAATGACATATTTATGACTAAAATAAATATTCTTTACAAAAATGTGAAATTTTTACATTCATAGTCATTAATATATTTATGACTATAGTAGTAACTTTAGTCATATTAACCTATATTCAATTTTTACACTCAGTAACCATGACGCTATGTTCATAATATCTTTATTCATATTTGGGAGAACTATCAAATAAGCCCTCGAACTTTTATAAAAAGTGCAAATAAGCCCTTTTACAGGAGGCTTTGTCCGGCTGTCGCCTTTTGGGGCAGTTTCCGGTGGAATTTTTTGATGAAAATTTTCGAGCATCTTCTTCATCAAGTCTAGTTTAATCATACCAAATTTCAGCTAAACATTCAATCGGGAAGGCAGTCAAATGAATTTTTGAAGATAACTACGCAGTTAGGCAGCGTAGTATAATTCAGAAAATCATTTGACTGCCTTCCCGATTGAATTTTTAGCTGAAATTTGGTATGGATAAACTAGACTTAATGAAGAAGATTCTCAAAAAAAATCATCAAGAAATTTCACCGGAAACCGCCCCAAATGGTGACATCCGTACAAAGTTTCATGTAAAAGGGCTTATTTGCACTTTTTATGAAAGTTCGAGGGCTTATTTGATAGTTCTCCCTTCATATTTTTGTAAATAAGTTTTAGGAAGATTTGCAATTTTAGTCCTGTAGCTTTAGGTTGTTTTCATTATTAGTTCCGTAACTTTAGTCACTCACAAGTTTGGTCCTATAACTAATAAATCTTTGTGATTTACGGACTTCTCCTTTAAAAGTACACTTCCCGGCAAAAATATACCGGAAACGATGCCGCTGACATTGGATTTTCTGCTGGAAAGTGTACTCTCCTGTTGAAAAGTCCTTTAGTTACAAAGATTTATTAGTTACGAGGCCAAATTTGCAAGCGATTAAAGTTACAAGATTAATAACGATAACAGTCAAAAGTTACCGGACTAAAGTTGCAAATCTCCCATAAGTTTTATTTGAGTAATATTTTTTAAAAACTATTTAACTAAACTTACTTCTACTCCCATAATTCTAAGTATTTGTAAAAAATATTAAAATAAGATAAAAGTGTTCATGTATTATTGTCCTTGCCATTTTCCATGATAAAATCAAGCGTAACAAATTAACTCTCCTTACCATATGATTCCTTTCCCTAGCATATCCTAGGGTCCAAGCGTAGGCTAATATGAGAAATGATGCTCGCTTTGAAGTAAGTTCACAATAAAAGCATGAAATATGTTATGGTTGGGTCTGCAATTAATAACCCCAACAAAGATATTCTGATGTTTTTTCTTTCTACCGTAGAGATACCACCCTTATGCAACGGACCCAAACCTCAGTGGGGCACTTTCATCAGTTCTTTGGGAGCTGAATCTCTTAACAAAGCATTACCATCCATCCGTGTCCACAATGGCATCTGGCGTTTCAGCCATGAACACGGCGAACAACCAGATTCTTCATTCCAACACTTCTCCTCAGCAGGCATTCATGCAATTATCACTCGAAAATGAATCCTTCATTCCAAGGAGTGACAATAAGATGCCAAAGTTTAAGCGGAAACAGGGGCCCACCTCTTTTGGAACGGGGTTAACAAATGTCGATCTGACGGTTCAGGTGGATATGGATGTGGTTAGGAAGAAGTTAACTGAACATTTTCTCCAAATCCGTGACATTGCAGAAAACAAACGGCTAAGGGCTGAATTGGACAACACAACATCATCACTAGAGCTCTTTGAACAGTTTCGTTTACAGAAGAAAAGGAAATCGTAATTTGAATTTCATTTTTCTGCAGGAATTAATATTTTTGCCCTGTTTTGTTGTTGTAGACTTCATTGATGCTCTTGTATTATTTTTTCTTTGAACAATCTACACTTTGTTTTGTGATCTTCAAAATTCAAATTGCGTCTGATTAGAATCGATAACACGATGTTGTTTTGTAATCATTTATAATTCAAATGAGTTTTTTGAACTATTTTATTTATGTATGTGTGTGTGGATGTATGTATGTAAATATGCATGTACATTTAACGTCACTTTGTAATGTAGAATTGTAGATAATAATACTATCATGAAAGAATGATGTGGCATACAACGGACACTGTTGAGAATATTTTATGGTGTTCAATTTAGTTAAATATCTTTGTATTCGTGTAGTTATTAATTAAATGTGTAATATGAGCCACAAATGTATATCACCCCGTTAGCTTCTTTGTAACTCATAAGTTAGCCATCTTCTCCGATAAAAGGAGGCTAACTTATGGAAACCCTAACGATCGAGGCTTGAGAATGCATAGAGGCGAGATAGAGTGATTAAGTTTTCGCTGCTCTCTCTCGATGGAGAGCAGCGACGTTCTACACGGTATACCAGATTGATTGATTATCTCTATATCTTTCTATATGTTTTTTCTTCACTGCTATGTTTGTTTGATTGTAAAAGAAACTGAGTCTATCAATTGGTATCAGAGTCGAGCGTGAAAAAAGGTTGAATCTATCTGTGTTTTTCGTATATTACGAAGAACTGCTCTGCTTTTCTTCTATTTTTCTTTGATATAGAGATTTGCTCCTGTAATCTTATTTGTGAACGAAAATCTGTAAAAATTATACTGTTGGAATCGCCTTTCAAAAACGATTCTGAAGCATATCTTATTTTTCGATTTCGGAAATTTTTCAATTTCGAAGATCTCTACATTGAGATCTCGACATTCATGCTTTTTACTGATGCAGAAACGATTTTGATTCGAAATTGATACAGGAAGAATCTCGACCTTCAGGCTATTTAGAACAATTTTCAATTTTTCAAAATTTGAAGTTTTCATTTTGCAGGATCTCGATATTTTTGGGTTTTTGAACTTGGGATTTCGACATTTGGGATCTCGATGTTTAGGATCTCGGTGTCTAGGGTCTCAACATTCTGAAGATTTCGAGATTTTTGAAATTTTTTTATGTTTTGAATGTTTCAAAGTTTGCAGTTTCTTGAAACTCGGAATTTTTTAAGGCTTGACATTCTTCGCATTTCATCGAAGCTTTACATTATAGGATTTTTGAATGATTCCCTGCTTATCAATGTTTTTAGAAGTTTTCGATGTTCTGATGTTTTTGAAACAGCAAGTTTTTTATTTTCTGAGGTTTTCGAAACTCCAAAGTTTTCGATGTTCCAAACATTTTAAAATTCTGAGGTTTGTTTTGTAGGTGGATTTCGCCATTATTCTTCGAGGCAAACTCGAGATTAAGATCCCGATTTTTAAACCTCGAGATTGTGATCTCGAGCTTTAAATCTCGAGATTGTGATCTCGAGCTTTAAACCTCGAGATTGTGATCTCGAGATTTAAACCTCGAGATTGTGATCTCGGGATTTAAACCTCGAGATTGTGATCTCGGGATTTAAACCTCGAGATTGTGATCTCGGGATTTAAACCTCGAGATTGTGATCTCGGGATTTAAACCTCGAGATTGTGATCTCGAGATTTAAACATCGATATTAGGATTTCGAGGTATTGCCTTAGAATTTTCCTTAATCCCACCTGTTCTCGATATTCAACATCGAGAACCTCAACTTCGAAAAAATTTCTCAAAAACTCAAAAATTCGAGATTTTCTGCGACACCGCACTGTTTTAGCCATAACTTTTGACTCGGTGATCCGATTTAAGCATACTTTTTTTGTTGGTAAGCTAACGAAAAGATCTTCATGAATTATAGGGGTTTACCCCAGAACCCTTTTTCACGCGCCCTCACGCACAGTCCTTGAGGGTCAAAACGTTCGTTTTCCGACAAACTTTGTAAATCACCGAATTCAAGGTCAAAACTCAGGCAAATCTGATCAAATTTTTTCAAAGTCAAGCCAAATGTCAAAGATTTTCTAAACTACACTGTAGAGGTCCAAAAATCGTAGATAATTCAATCAACCTCGCGTCAATGGTCATCTTACAACAATCAACAATCAACTACTAAAGCCTCCCCTAACTCATCAACATTGTGTGATCCTCAAACGTGCTGAAATTACAAATGATGGGCTAAGGGAAACCGTCATGTGTGGTGCCTGTTGAGATTGCTCCACACACATGGTGGGTATGACAAGCTGTGAGCAATCAAACCTTGCACATTCTGAGGGGGAGTTTCAGTTTCCTCCTCCTGACGCCTTACACCGACAAGTTCTCCTCAAAGGATGCAACATTTTAGGGGGAGTGTTCAATGTTATCCTCCACGGTGCCTAACAATGACAAAGCATACCGAGTGCTCCAGTTGAGGGGGAGTACAGAGAGAAAATCAAGAAAGTAATGAGAGAACATGTCTCTATGGCTTAGTAAACCCAACTAAGCCTACCTAAGGGACAAAGCCGAGCGTAAGTGAGTGAGTGAGCAAATGAGTCAGTGAACATGAGCATTAGGAAACAGAAGGCTCAAGTGAGCAAGGAAACAATAATCAAAGATAAGTCTGCTACTTCAACTGCCTACTATCAATTGAACATTATTTCTAGCCACTCAAATACTCTGGACAATCCCCATAGGTTCAGGACTGATTTAATCAGATCCCGGGTAGAAGTCACTGCATCTTGTCCAACAGTGCATGCTTAACCCTACCCAAGACCACTCACTTGTCTCCCAACAGACAGGTGTTTGATCATATTTCACGGGGAACCGCGTCTCTCATTACTATATCTTTCTGAGGCAAGTGATACTGACTACAGTGGCCTCAGCCCCATGCCACTGAACTTTCATTGATCACGTCGTGTCTAGTTACTCACTCCCAAATGTTTTCAATTCTTCTAGGACACGGACGCACTTTTTGAGTCAGTTGCAAGTCTACATAACTCGCGAAAACTTCTATAGGGCTCATCTATTACAGACGTAGACCAATGATTGGAAGGAAGTCCTGCTGTTGCAACATAAGAATCACCAACATTTTTAGGCCATCGCTTCAGAGTTTATCTCTATAGTGATGATAACGGGCGTCTACACGACCCCGGGGGGCTACATTATCTTTGCTGGCCTTTATAGTCATGCCATAACAACCAGAGTGACATCTGTTTGGATGCTTCACAATGATTGGTTGGAAGTCCTGTTAGAGCTTAATAATGCTTCTATCATTATATACAGGCCACACATCGATGTTTACATTGATGTTGTGTTAACGGAACACATCAGTGTATCCGGTTTTTGCATTTCAACATTCTGCTTGTTTTTCCTGTTTTTATTTCCGCTGAATAAAAGAATAAAGGCATGACGCCCCGATTCATCGGATCATCATGATGGGGAGAGTGGTCCACATGATGTTAACTCTCAACAAATCATTCTAGGACACCTCTCTCCTCCAACTCTCTCTACTATCTCCGTAACTCAAATGGTCAGCTACGCTCACAAGTCAACCATCATTATGTTCCGCTGTGCCACCGACAAGTTCTCCTCAAATGCATTCAATCCAAATAGTTAAAAAGACTACATTGTGGAGGAGACAGAGGTCAAATACCCGTGTACTGAAGATGAATCCCGTGCGCCCCTGATAATCATCAGAACATTCATTCTAGAGGCGTCACCGGACTTCATCCAAGCTGATGAAGACCAACTTCTGGAAGGCAAGGATTACAAGAAAAAGATTCCTCAAAACCCTGACATCAAAGATCAATCTGCCATGAAAACATCAAAGGGGAGATTGCGAGGATTTCTTCATAAAGCCTTCTCAAGAAGTCAAGATCAAAGACAAAGGAAGCTCAATAACAATAAAGACAAAGATATTCGTGCTGCAATGCTGATTCAACACGATTGAACACCAAGGGGGAGATTGTTGAGAATATTTTATAGTGTCCAATCTAGTTAAATATCTTTGTATTTGTGTAGTTATTAATTAAATGTGTAATATGGGCCACAAATGTATATTAGCCCGTTAACTTCTTTGTAACCCATAAGTTAGTCATCCTGTCCTATAAAATGAGGCTAACTTATGGAAACCCTAACGATCGAGGCTTGAGAGTGCATAGAGGCGAGATAGAGAGATTAGGTTTTCGCTGCTCTCTCTCTCTCGAGGGAGAGCAGCAACGTTCTACACGATATACCAGATTGGTTGATTATCTCTATATCTTTCTATCTGCTTCTTTTTCCTTGCTTATGATTGTGTGATTGTTAGCATACTGGGTTTATCAGACACATTATGCTTTTAAGAAATTTGATCTATCATGTTTCATAAATCACTTTCTTAAATAAAAACATTAAAATGGCCTAACTTATGTTAAATTCCATTTTAACTTTATACTTGTTAGAGAAAATGAGTGTAGTTAACATTAAACTCTAAAAGTATTAGGATGTTTTTACTTGGACTGTTTTCAGTCCCAGACCATCTAGACTTAAATAGATCAAATCGGATTTAAACAGATCAGACTGAACTTAAATTGACCATACCAGATTTGATTTACGTAGTTATAAACTACACAGAGACAAGACGTTTACCAACCAGACTCAGGTTGTTTTTACTTGGATTGTAAGTTGTTGGTCTAACCTGGACTGGTTTGTTTGAGTTTTGTCTTGTTTGGTCTGTTTAAGTTTGGTCTGTTCAGAACTGGTCTGGTCTGGTAAACGTCTGGTCTCTATGTATTCTATAACTACGGAAGTCAAGTCTGGTCTGATCTGCTCTATTTAAATCTGGTCTGGTGTGGGACTGAAAACAGTCCAAGTAAAAACATCCTTGAACAGATTAGACAAGCAAATTACATTCCAAATAAAAACATCCTCATTTTTAAATACTTGATGACATGAGAAAGGAAGAACAAAATTGTACTTGGTTATTTTAAAACGTTTGTAATTAGATAATAATAAATCGAGATAAGCAACAATAAAAAAAATAAAACTCATTTTTTCTCCATAAACACCAACCGTTCTATACTTCTATAGTTCTATATTGGGAAAACTGTCAAATAGGTCCACGTACTTTTAACAAAAAGTCAATTGAGTTCATGTACTTTTTTCCGAGTCAATTAAGTCCACCAACTATCA